CTCTAAATAGGTTCTTGATCAAACATTCATTTCAGCATAGAATGTAATGAAAACACCAGACAACTCTGGAAAAAGGATTAATAACGATTGTGTCCAAAATAAAAACGTTACTTAACAAACTATCATTTTTTTGTTTTGATTTTCTGTGTGAGGGTAATGGCGGAAATATTGCCGATGTGACTATAAATTTTAACTCACTCACTCACTGTGTGAGTGTAAAGAGGGTAAAGTAACAGTTGCAGGAACAGCCTCAACGGCGGGAGGCAGCTAAGAATGTCATCATTTAGGGGTTGTATCAAAACCCTCCCGGACTGGAATCTGAGGAAGGTCCTGATTCACTTTCTCTACTCTCAGATTGTACACTTATAATGACAGGTTGAATGGTGGCATAATCTAAACCACTTTTTATCCAGTGGTGATTCTCTAGGAATGACAAGTCTTTATAGATGATCAACTTCTATATTGTATGTAGCGACGTTTCGGTATAGATAACTATACTGTTTTCAAGCACGAGGTGGCGACAGGACACGGCAGCATATATACAGGGTACGTGAGGGCTAACAATGGCAATGGATGATAAACAAGATGATTTACAATGAAAACAAGCATAATTATACATGGGACAAGCCGAGGCGAGATAACAGCATGATGAATAGGATTTCCAGTGGGGGTGGGATTACTAATTAGGGGAGGGGATTAGTTGGAGAAGCCAGAGAGGGGGGGATTGGGGGATAGATTAGTTTTAGATTAGGTGGTGGTAAGCTGATGCGATGAAATAGCCCTGGAAAGTTTTGGGCGGTGTCTTTTTATCTGTAGTGCTTCTATCAATTTTCTTGTTGTGTAATCATGTTTAGTTTTACGCCGCACCCATAAATATTTCAGCTATATGGCAGCGGTCTGTAAATAATCGAGTCTGGACCAGACAATCCAGGGATCAACAGCATGAGCATCGATCTGCGCAATTAGGATACGATGACATGTATCAACATTAGTCGTCTCACGACAAGCCTAGGTTGCTGAAGATCAATTCTATCCCGGACCTTCACAGGCTTAACTTGGGAACCATCACGACAAGGACATACATATGGTGATATATTTTTATCGTATATTTGTGTGAAGTGTATGTCTAATTTAGCTTCTACCATGATGTAACAATTTCTATGTATGTATTGGTGCATGTCAACAGCGTGTACAGGTTTACCACTCGGTCAAAAGCTCAGAGTGAGTGAGTTGGGTTGTACGCCGCATTTAGCAATATTCCAGCAACATCACGGCGGGGGACACCATAAATGGGCTTCACACATTGTACCCATGTGGGGAATCGAACCCGGGTCTTTGAACGCTTTAACCACTAGGCTACCCCACCGCCCCCAAAAGTTGAAAGGCCCTTGTCGTAAGAGGCAACTAAAGGGGTCGGGCGGTCAGGCTCGCTGGCTTGGTTGACACATGTCATCGGTTCCCAGTTGCGCAGATCGATGCTCATGATGTTGATCACTGGATTGTCTGGTCCCAGACTCGATTATTTACAGACCGCCGCCATATAGTTGGAATATTGCCGAGTGCGGCGTAAAACTAAACTTACTCACTCACTCAAAAGCTGAGACCACTCAAATAAGTTAAAAAACACCTCAACAGATTAACCTTAGTAATATAAAACAATGGTGTGCCTCTACTTCTTTTGAGTGGTTTACATTAAGGGGGGGGGGCATCAGATGTGAGACGCTCATATAGATTTAGTAGTGAGATAAGACACCATTCGTGACCACATCGTGCTTTTCTGGGACAAGCCGACTATGTCTCTTTTAAGAGTTCTCTGAAAAGAACGAGCGAGGACGCTGGTATTGTCTAGACGTCAAGTCTAGTGCCCCGCCTCTATAACGTCTAAAATAGAAATATGTAATAATATGTTTAACACCCTTTTACATCTTAACGCAAACTGTCAACATATACTGTCCTCATCGGTCTTGTTGACGTTATAGATGACTGACACGTACACATTTAACGCGGCACCTCTTTACCTTTCGAGGGCGGTGGGGTAGCCTGGTGGTTGAAGCGTTCGCTCGTCACGCCGAAGAACCGGGTTCGATTCCCCACATGGGTACAATGTGTGAAGCCCATTTCTGGTGTCCCCCGCCGTGATATTGCTGGAATATTGCTAAAAGCGGCGTAAAACCATACTCACTCACTCTTTACCTTTCCCTACTCGAACAAAGTGGTATCGTGTTGCAACTTCGACATATCCGAACTTTCGAGATGACATGAATAAATAACTGATATGAATGATAATGGCTTGAATCAACTGCATTAAATTCGAATACTTTGATTTACACAATGAAAACTACACATGTTGTTAAAGTACACAAGATGAAATGGAGTGATGTTTTACACCGCTTTGGACAGTAGTCAATAAACTGTGGTGGTGCATGGTCCTGTACATAGAGCTCAGGTCACGAATCAGTTGAAGTTAAGCAACATCGGGCACGGAGTGTCCTTGGATGGGTGACCGTGTTTGGCAGCTTGACTCCTGAGAGTTTCTAGGACTTCAGTCCAGCCCCACAACGAAGCACAAGTGATACATGTAGTCACACCTTAGGCAAGTGAGTTTGTTCAAAATTGCCTCTGTTCACCCAGCAGAAAAATGGGTACCCGGTGGGATAAGTCATGTGACTATAACCTTCTAGCGCCTAACAGGCAGCTTGGGTTAACCGGGGTACTAATGTGCTGTGCTATTGTTTGTTAGCGATATGAGCATACCCAGTGTGGAGTTTGGCGCTATATAAATGGATACATTATTATCATTATTATACTCCTGCTCATAATGGTTGTCATCCCCTGTAGATAACCATATTTTCTCACATTCATGCAATATATTGTATCCAACACCCGTGAAGATACGGGTTAGAATGTGCCTTCAGTAACCCATGCTTGTCATAAGAGGCGACTAACAGGATCGGGTGGTCAGGCTCGCTGACTTGGTTGACACGTGTCATCTGTTCCCAATTGTGCAGATCGATGCTCATGCTGTTGATCACTGGATTGTCTGGTCCAGATTATTTACAGACCGCAGCCATATAGCTGGAATATTGCTGAGTGCGTCGTAAAACTAAACTCACTCACTCACTATTGTGTACATTTTTGTGTTTGTCTGATGAAAATGTGTGTCCAAGCGCGTCTCCACAGGTTTGTAGTGAGTCATTGAAAAAGCAAGCAGCGTTATTCTGGCATGTAGAAAACCTGCCTACTGTTCAATTTCATATGCTTGAGTGCATACCTACTTTCGATTTGTAAAACAGAATTTTATGCAAAATACAATGCCAGCACCATTGTCACTTGCATTACGTAACCAGATTGTAGGAATATCTGGCGTTACCAACCGTGCCATAAGCCGTGAGTTGCACGTAAGCGTTAGAAGTGTACAGGGGATAAAGAGTTGCACTGAAATCGTCAATCATTAGTACCCAAAAAGTCTACAGGTAGTCCCCGATAAACTGACGCAAGGGACGACAGGGTTCTCTTCCGCCTTGTACGTCGACATCGACGTTTATCTGCCAGGTTAAGAGAAAGGTGGGGTGTTCTTGTTAACTTGTTGCTAAGGCAAACAGTCAACCGTAGGCTACTGGAGAGGGGGTACAAAGCAAGAAGACCTGTGCGTCGACCACCTCTAACAGCTCTGCATAAGCAACGTCCACTTGACTGGGCTCAATGTCATCGTAGCATAACGTTACAACATTGGCGTCATGCCATCTTTTCTGATGAATCCAGACTTCTTCTACATACGGTGAATGGAAGAATGCGAGTTCGACGATTAGCTGGAGAAAGATTTGTAGCAGACTGTGTGGAAGGTTACGTTGCGAACTGCGGTGGTTCTGTTTTGGTATGGGGTGGGATTCAAAACAATGGTAAAACAGAATATCGTGTTGTTCATGGAAACGTCACTCAAGCGACGTACAGGGACATTTTGGAAACCCATTGGATGCCACATGCACGACAAGTATACGGCAACAAGTTCCTGCTGCAGGATGACAATGCTGCTCCTTATCGCTACTGACTATCATGTTCCTGACAACTGAATGTTCTGAGACATTTATCCTCAATATTCAAATCTGCAACAAATTTTGTATTAAATAAAACTAGCTTATTTACAAGTCAGTCTGACGTGTAAAGATTTTGAGGGGAGCATGTCTTTGGGTGATCTTTTTCTGAAACCGTAGCCATACAAAGTTCTTTAAACAATTATTTAATGTTAGTAACATAACTGAGTTTCAATAAGGTCATTAAACAAAATGAAGGGATTAACAAATGAAAACTGAAAAACCGTTAAGCACATACACTTAGTAATCAAAGAGGGGGTGACAACCGTTATGAGCATGGGTATGTTATATACAGTATATATTATCGCATGCCAGCTTGATGTGGGAGAAACTCCCGCTGTGATGCATGTCTTAGACTCCAACCCACGATCATAGGATTCTGGCACAACTAAGCCAGGTAACTCTAAAGGCCCCCATGTCGTCGGTTTAACGTGATCAGGAGGTATTTTGGATTCCAACCCACGGCCATAGGATTCTGGCACAACTAAGCGAGGTAACTCTAAAGGCCCTCATGTCGTCAGTTTAACGTGATCAGGAGGTATTTTGGATTCCAACCCACGACCATAGGATTCTGGTACAACTAAGAGACGTAACTCCAAAGGTCTCGGTTTGTCGTGATATTGAGCTGGGTGTAGATGAGCGTTGTGTTCAAGTAGATCAGCGTCCAGGAAATCCATCATGTAAAGTGACTTCTGAATGAGACTGACTTCAGTCAATAATTGCCCTAACGACTTCGCCGCTATACCACCTCGTCTCATACCTCATGGTGCTTTCAGGCCCACCAGTCTCACGCTTAACGTACCAACTTTCACATACTACTTAGTAAGTTAACGACATCTTGATTAGCGTAATTAGAGTATTAACCAAAGCTCCCTGCAGTCAGCACCAAGCTGATGTGTTGTCGTGACATTGTGTCTGTGTGCCGTTCAGGAGGACGTCTTGTCACAGTCTGTGGGACCATGAACGCTGTGGTTTGTTGCCTGGTTATTCTGTGGTGTGTGTGGGAGATTCGGTGCACAGACGGTAGGTAACATCTTCAGACTTGTAGCTCATCATAGTGATTAGACTCAGATTGGTTCAACCTTGCCGTAAACACTGAGAGTAGCCAGTAACATTCGAGTCAGATCTCTGGTGGATTCAAATATGTGGTAGATTTTAAAAGCTTTATAGGTTTCTCATATGTGCGGTGGATTTACCCGATGTTTGTGGATTCCTGCGTCTATTTCCTATCTATGGTCGTATAAGTGAATGTGTGAGTTTGATGTTGGGCTGCTTTCGTCAAGTATTATCAAGTTGGGGGACACACGAAACGGGCTCAAAGTAAATAATAACCACCACCTTTACATTCAAGAGTGCACTGCCCGTAAGGGAGAGAGGGAAGGACTCGCCGTTCAGCTTGTTAACGCCTCATGCTGACATCTGACAGGCAGAATGGCATTGTCGTAATTCAACAAGATGAGGGACTGTACTGCGTTGTGCCGTGCACTGGCGCCCAACTGCTTTTCTGCGGTCTTGGTCATTTTAGACTGTATAGCAGAGTCTGGTTGACTGACTGACTGGGTTTGGTTTTACGCCACTTTAAGCAATATATCAGCACTATCAAGGGTCTTCGATGTAACGAGCCCGACGCTTTAACCTTTAGGCTACCCCACCGCCCCTCTAGGGGTGACGAGTCCCCCACTTTAACCATTAGGCTACCCCACCGCCCCTCTTGGAGGTGAAGAGCCCAACGTTTTTAACCTTTAGGCTACCCCACCGCCCCTCTTGGAGGTGAAGAGCCCAACATGTTTAACCTTTAGGCTACCTCACCGCCCCTCTTGGAGGTGAAGAGCCCAACATTTTTAACCTTTAGGCTACCCCACCGCCCCTCTTGGAGGTGAAGAGCCCAACGTTTTTAACCTTTAGGCTACCCCACCGCCCCTCTTGGAGGTGAAGAGCCCAACGTTTATAACCTTTAGGCTACCCCACCGCCCCTCTTGGAGGTGAAGAGCCCAACGTTTTAACCTTTAGGCTACCCCACCGCCCCTCTTGGAGGTGAAGAGCCCAACGTTTTAACCTTTAGGCTACCCCACCGCCCCTCTTGGAGGTGAAGAGCCCAACGTTTTTAACCTTTAGGCTACCCCACCGCCCCTCTTGGAGGTGAAGAGCCCAACGTTTATAACCTTTAGGCTACCCCACCGCCCCTCTTGGAATGAAGAGCCCAACGTTTTAACCATTAGGTTACCCCATCGCCCCTCTTGGGGTAAAGAGCCCAACGTTTTAACCATTAGGTTACCCCACCGCCCCTCTTGGAGGTGAAGAGCCCAACATTGTTAACCATTACGTTACCCCACCGCCCCTCTTGGAGGTGCAGAGCCCAACGTTTTAACCATTAGGTTACCCCACCGCCCCTCTTAGGGATGAAGTGCCCAACGTTTTAACCATTAGGTTACCCCACCGCCCCTCTTAGGGGTGAAGAGCCCAACGTTTTAACCTTTAGGTTACCCCACCGCCCCTCTTGGGGTGAAGAGCCCAACGCTTTAACCTTTAGGCTACCCCACCGCCCCTCTAGGGGTGAAGAGCCCAACGCTTTAACCTTTAGGTTACCCCACCGCCCCTCTTGGGGTGAAGAGCCCAACGCTTTAACCTTTAGGTTACCCCACCGCCCCTCTTAGGGGTGAAGAGCCCAACGCTTTAACCTTTAGGTTACCCCACCGCCCCTCTTGGGGTGAAGAGCCCAACGCTTTAACCTTTAGGCTACCCCACCGCCCCTCTTTGGGTGAGGAGCCCAACGCTTTAACCTTTAGGTTACCCCACCGCCCCTCTTGGGGTGAAGAGCCCAACGCTTTAACCATTAGGCTACCCCACCGCCCCTCTTGGGGTGAAGAGCCCAACGCTTTAACCATTAGGCTACCCCACCGCCCCTCTTGGGGTTAAAGTGCCCAACGTTTTAACCATTAGGTTAGTCCACCGCCCCTCTTGGGGTGAAGAGCCCAACGTTTTAACCATTAGGTTACCCCACCGCCCCTCTTGGGGTTAAAGAGCCCAACGCTTTAACCATTAGGCTACCCCACCGCCCCTCTTGGGGTTAAAGAGCCCAACGTTTTAACCATTAGGTTACCCCATCGCCCCTCTTGGGGTTAAAGAGCCCAACGTTTTAACCATTAGGTTACCCCACCGCCCCTCTTGGGGTTAAAGAGCCCAACGTTTTAACCATTAGGTTACTACACATCGTCCTGTACAGATACAGTTATAGCAATATGTAAACGATTCTGCTGGAAGTGTGAGACAAACCGCTAAAGTCTGATCTACTTTCATAATCATTATCTGCACTTGTAGAGAGTATTTTTGTCCAAAACGACACCTTCCTCTTGAATCATTTCAGGCATCACCTTTTACTCAGACGGTGTATAATGCCACCTACTGACTCTCACACAGGGTATATTGTGTGATGTAGGGACCTTTATACCCGTCACCTACTGACTCTCACACAGGGTATATTGTGTCATGTGAGGACCTTTGTACCCGTCACCTACTGACTCTCACACAGGGTATATTGTGTGATGTAGGGACCTTTATACCCGTCACCTACTGACTCTCACACAGGGTATATTGTGTCATGTGAGGACCTTTATACCCGTCACCTACTGACTCTCACGCAGGGTATATTGTGTCATGTGAGGACCTTTGTACCCGTCACCTACTGACTCTCACACAGGGTATATTGTGTCATGTGAGGACCTTTGTACCCGTCACCTACTGACTCTCACACAGGGTATATTGTGTCATGTGAGGACCTTTGTACCCGTCACCTACTGACTCTCACACAGGGTATATTGTGTCATGTGAGGACCTTTGTACCCGTCACCTACTGGCTCTGTCACAGGGTATATTGTGTCATGTGAGGACCTTTATACCCGTCACCTACTGACTCTCACACAGGGTATATTGTGTCATGTGAGGACCTTTGTACCCGTCACCTACTGACTCTCACACAGGGTATATTGTGTCATGTGAGGACCTTTGTACCCGTCACCTACTGGCTCTGTCACAGGGTATATTGTGTCATGTGAGGACCTTTGTACCCGTCACCTACTGGCTCTGTCACAGGGTATATTGTGTCATGTGAGGACCTTTGTACCCGTCACCTACTGGTTCTGTCACAGGGTATATTGTGTCATGTGAGGACCTTTGTACCCGTCACCTACTGACTCTCACACAGGGTATATTGTGTCATGTGAGGACCTTTGTACCCGTCACCTACTGACTCTCACACAGGGTATATTGTGTGATGTAGGGACCTTTATACCCGTCACCTACTGACTCTCACACAGGGTATATTGTGTCATGTGAGGACCTTTGTATCCGTCACCTACTAACTCTCACACAGGGTATATTGTGTCATGTGAGGACCTTTGTATCCGTCACCTACCGGCTCTGTCACAGGGTATATTGTGTCATGTGAGGACCTTTGTACCCGTCACCTACTGACTCTCACACAGGGTATATTGTGTCATGTGAGGACCTTTGTACCCGTCACCTACTGACTCTCACACAGGGTATATTGTGTCATGTGAGGACCTTTGTACCCGTCACCTACTGACTCTCACACAGGGTATATTGTGTCATGTGAGGACCTTTGTATCCGTCACCTACTGACTCTCACACAGGGTATATTGTGTCATGTGAGGACCTTTGTACCCGTCACCTACTGGCTCTGTCACAGGGTATATCGTGTGATGTGAGGACCTTTATACCCGTCACCTACTGACTCTCACACAGGGTATATTGTGTGATGTAGGGACCTTTATACCCGTCACCTACTGACTCTCACACAGGGTATATTGTGTCATGTGAGGACCTTTATACCCGTCACCTACTGACTCTCACACAGGGTATATTGTGTGATGTAGGGACCTTTATACCCGTCACCTACTGACTCTCACACAGGGTATATTGTGTCATGTGAGGACCTTTGTACCCGTCACCTACTGACTCTCACACAGGGTATATTGTGTCATGTGAGGACCTTTGTACCCGTCACCTACTGACTCTCACACAGGGTATATTGTGTGATGTAGGGACCTTTATACCCGTCACCTACTGACTCTCACACAGGGTATATTGTGTGATGTAGGGACCTTTATACCCGTCACCTACTGACTCTCACACAGGGTATATTGTGTCATGTGAGGACCTTTGTACCCGTCACCTACTGACTCTCACACAGGGTATATTGTGTCATGTGAGGACCTTTGTACCCGTCACCTACTGACTCTCACACAGGGTATATTGTGTCATGTGAGGACCTTTGTACCCGTCACCTACTGACTCTCACACAGGGTATATTGTGTCATGTGAGGACCTTTGTACCCGTCACCTACTGACTCTCACACAGGGTATATTGTGTCATGTGAGGACCTTTGTACCCGTCACCTACTGACTCTCACACAGGGTATATTGTGTGATGTAGGGACCTTTATACCCGTCACCTACTGACTCTCACACAGGGTATATTGTGTCATGTGAGGACCTTTGTACCCGTCACCTACTGGCTCTGTCACAGGGTATATTGTGTCATGTGAGGACCTTTATACCCGTCACCTACTGACTCTCACACAGGGTATATTGTGTCATGTGAGGACCTTTGTACCCGTCACCTACTGACTCTCACACAGGGTATATTGTGTCATGTGAGGACCTTTGTACCCGTCACCTACTGACTCTCACACAGGGTATATTGTGTCATGTGAGGACCTTTGTACCCGTCACCTACTGACTCTCACACAGGGTATATTGTGTGATGTAGGGACCTTTATACCCGTCACCTACTGACTCTCACACAGGGTATATTGTGTCATGTGAGGACCTTTGTACCCGTCACCTACTGACTCTCACGCAGGGTATATTGTGTCATGTGAGGACCTTTGTACCCGTCACCTACTGACTCTCACACAGGGTATATTGTGTCATGTGAGGACCTTTGTACCCGTCACCTACTGACTCTCACACAGGGTATATTGTGTCATGTGAGGACCTTTGTACCCGTCACCTACTGACTCTCACACAGGGTATATTGTGTCATGTGAGGACCTTTGTACCCGTCACCTACTGACTCTCACACAGGGTATATTGTGTCATGTGAGGACCTTTGTATCCGTCACCTACTGACTCTCACGCAGGGTATATTGTGTCATGTGAGGACCTTTGTACCCGTCACCTACTGACTCTCACACAGGGTATATTGTGTCATGTGAGGACCTTTGTACCCGTCACCTACTGACTCTCACACAGGGTATATTGTGTGATGTAGGGACCTTTATACCCGTCACCTACTGACTCTCACACAGGGTATATTGTGTGATGTAGGGACCTTTATACCCGTCACCTACTGACTCTCACACAGGGTATATTGTGTCATGTGAGGACCTTTGTACCCGTCACCTACTGACTCTCACACAGGGTATATTGTGTCATGTGAGGGACCTTTGTACCCGTCACCTACTGACTCTCACACAGGGTATATTGTGTCATGTGAGGACCTTTGTACCCGTCACCTACTGACTCTCACACAGGGTATATTGTGTCATGTGAGGACCTTTGTACCCGTCACCTACTGACTCTCACACAGGGTATATTGTGTCATGTGAGGACCTTTGTATCCGTCACCTACTGGCTCTGTCACAGGGTATATTGTGTCATGTGAGGACCTTTGTACCCGTCACCTACTGACTCTCACGCAGGGTATATTGTGTCATGTGAGGACCTTTGTACCCGTCACCTACTGACTCTCACGCAGGGTATATTGTGTCATGTGAGGACCTTTGTACCCGTCACCTACTGGCTCTGTCACAGGGTATATTGTGTCATGTGAGGACCTTTGTACCCGTCACCTACTGATTCTCACGCAGGGTATATTGTGTCATGTGAGGACCTTTGTACCCGTCACCTACTGACTCTCACGCAGGGTATATTGTGTCATGTGAGGACCTTTGTACCCGTCACCTACTGACTCTCACACAGGGTATATTGTGTCATGTGAGGACCTTTGTACCCGTCACCTACCGGCTCTTTCACAGGGTATATTGTGTCATGTGAGGACCTTTGTACTAGTCACTTATTGACTCTCACACAGGGTATATTGTGTGATGTGAGGACCTTTGTACCCGTCACCTACTGACTCTCACACAGGGTATATTGTGTCATGTGAGGACCTTTGTATCCGTCACCTACTGGCTCTGTCACAGGGTATATTGTGTCATGTGAGGACCTTTGTACCCGTCACCTACCGGCTCTGTCACAGGGTATATTGTGTCATGTGAGGACCTTTGTACCCGTCACCTATTGACTCTCACACAGGGTATATTGTGTGATGTGAGGACCTTTGTACCCGTCACCTATTGACTCTCACACAGGGTATATTGTGTCATGTGAGGACCTTTGTACCCGTCACCTACTGGCTCTGTCACAGGGTATATTGTGTGATGTGAGGACCTTTGTACCCGTCACCTACTGGCTCTGTCACAGGGTATATTGTGTGATGTGAGGACCTTTGTACCCGTCACCTACCGGCTCTGTCACAGGGTATATTGTGTGATGTGAGGACCTTTGTACCCGTCACCTACTGGCTCTGTCACAGGGTATATTGTGTCATGTGAGGACCTTTGTACTCGTCCCTTATTGACTCTCACACAGGGTATATTGTGTGATGTGAGGACCTTTGTACCCGTCACCTACCGGCTCTTTCACAGGGTATATTGTGTCATGTGAGGACCTTTGTACTAGTCACTTATTGACTCTCACACAGGGTATATTGTGTGATGTGAGGACCTTTGTACCCGTCACCTACTGACTCTCACACAGGGTATATTGTGTCATGTGAGGACCTTTGTATCCGTCACCTACTGGCTCTGTCACAGGGTATATTGTGTCATGTGAGGACCTTTGTACCCGTCACCTACCGGCTCTGTCACAGGGTATATTGTGTCATGTGAGGACCTTTGTACCCGTCACCTATTGACTCTCACACAGGGTATATTGTGTGATGTGAGGACCTTTGTACCCGTCACCTATTGACTCTCACACAGGGTATATTGTGTGATGTGAGGACCTTTGTACCCGTCACCTACTGGCTCTGTCACAGGGTATATTGTGTGATGTGAGGACCTTTGTACCCGTCACCTACCGGCTCTGTCACAGGGTATATTGTGTGATGTGAGGACCTTTGTACCCGTCACCTACTGGCTCTGTCACAGGGTATATTGTGTCATGTGAGGACCTTTGTACTCGTCCCTTATTGACTCTCACACAGGGTATATTGTGTGATGTGAGGACCTTTGTACCCGTCACCTGCCGGATCGGTCACAGGGTATATTGATAGGTTCATATTCTTACATGAATAAGAAGTAAGGGGTGTCACAAATAAATAAACACATTTTTAACAACATCTATTGATGCAGCTGTTAAACTAATGGTTTTCACGAAATTTTGAACTGCCACGGATATTACTACATTTTCAATTAAAATATTGATCAGTGTTTATTTTCATGCGTTACCATGGAAACATGCTGTTTTTTGTCCACGCTTATTTTCATGTGACCACCACTTTACATTTCCTAAAGGGTAGATATAATCTATCGGTGAAATATGGATTGTGTTTTGCTATGTTACCGTGTGGGGTTGAGATCTGGTGAGTCAGAATCCGTCAGTCTGTAGCTCCAATAGAAACGTCATAGTGACGTGGAGTTGAGCTGGGCTTTTTGTCACATCGGCATTATTTCAGGAATATGACAGTAACATGGACCTTTGATTTAACGTGTTGATGTTGTTACTGGAAACGGAATGTTGTGTGTGAGTTTGAGTGTAAGTGTGTTAGTGAGTGTAAGTTTGAGTGTTAGTGTGTGACTGCTAGTGTGCGAATGTGAGCGTGAGCGTTAATGTGTGAGTGTTAGTGAGTGAGTGTGTGAGCATGAGAGTGAGTGTGTCAGTGTAAGTGCGGATGCAAGTGTGTGAGTGTATGAGCTTCAGTGTAAGTGTGTGAGTGTGAGTGTTAGTGTGTGTGTGTTAGTGTGTGGGTGTGAGTGTTAGGGTATGAGTGTGAGGTTGAATTGTGTTGTGCGAGTGTGAGTTTGAGTGTTAGTGTGTGAGTTTGAGTGTAAGTGTGTGTGTAAGTGATAGTGTGTGTGTCTGACTGCCAGTGTAAGTGCGTTTGAATGTGAGTGTGAGTGAGTGTGAGTGTGAGTGTGAATGTGAGTGTTATTGAGTGAGTGAGTGAGTGAGTGAGTGAGTATGAGTGTGTGACTATGAGTGTGAGTGTGAATGTGTGGGTGTGAGTGTTAGTTTTAGTGTGTGAGTGTGTGGGTGTCGGAGTAGTGTTAGTGTGTGAGTGTGAATGTGTGAGTTTGTGTGGTAGTGAGTGAGTGCTAGTGTGTGAACGTGAATGTTAGTGTTAGTGTGTGTGTGAGTGTGAGTTTGTGTGGTAGTGAGTGAGTGCTAGTGTGAGTATGAGTTTGAGTGATAGTGTGTGTTAGTGTTAGTGTTAGTGTGAGTTTGAGTGTGAGTGTGAGCGTGTGAGTGTGAGTGTGAGTGTGAGTGAATGTGAGTGTGAGTGTGTGAGTGTGAATGTGTAAATGTGAGTGAGTGAGAGTGTGTGTGAGTTTATGATTGTGAGTGTGAGTATGAGAGTAAGTGTGAGTGAGTGAGTGTGAGTGTGAGTGTATGACTGTGAGTGTGAGTGTGAGTGAGTAAGTTTCGTTTTACGCCGCACTGAGCAATATTCCAGCTATATGGCGGCGGTCTGTAAATAATCGAGTCTGGATCAGACAATCCAGTGATCAACAGGATGAGCAATGATCTGCGCAATTGCAACCGATGACATGTGTCAACCAAGTCAGCGAGCCTGACCACCCGATCCCGTTAGTCGATTCTTACGACAAGCATAGTCGCCTTTTTGTGGCAGTGACTGTGAGTATGAGAGTGAGTGTGAGTGAGTGTGTGAGTGTGTGAGTGTGTGAGTGTATGAGTGTATGAGTGTTTGAGTGGGTGAGTGAGTGAGTGAGTTTAGTATTACGCAGTTCTTAGCAATATTTCTGGAATGTCACGGCGGGGGGACCTCAGAAATGGGCTTCACACATTGTACCCACAGTACCCGGTTCACTTTACCCACTAGGCTAACCCACCTCCCATCTAAGTATGCGGCATTTAACGCAAGATTCTTAAACAAGGACTACACATGTGGCCCTCTTGCTGTGACATCCATTTGATTAGGTGTTCGACTCCGGATTCACTCTAATGAACATTTTGGACTTGTGCAGTGACCGTCTAAGCTGACAAATTGTGACAATCACAGCTGACAGTAGTGAATACCCAGGCACGCCTCCTTTTGACCAAATTGTCTTTAAGACTGATATTATATTAAGCAAGGCAGTACGCTCATCATTTCCCATTTAGAATAAAACCCCGTCTGCAGCTTTTGGTATGGCGTGAGGACCAGCGTTAATGCTGTTCATCTGATGCCGTCGTTAGTGATACTAGCCCACTGGGGCGTCAGACGCTGCTAGCTTACTCCCCTTAGTTTTCGCTAATTCTTGCCAAAGTTATTCTTCATGCCTGTGTATTACGTTTTTGTCCCACTTTCTTGATCGGTATTTTTTCACCTCTTGCAGTACAGGTCATGAAGGGAAACAACCTAACGCTGAAGTGTTCGCTGGATACTGACGACCAGGAAGTCACGTGGTACAAAGATGGCGACATTGCTGCTTCCGTTCAGATATATGAGGGTGGAAGCTGTGACTGGCTTCTAACAGAGATTCATAGGGGCAATATTTGGATTTCTTGCTTCAAGAACTCGGTTTATCTAACGGAACTGGAATCCACGAGCGCAAACTGGTCATGTGCTGAAACACAGAGAAAGAAATACAGCGATCAGATCAAAGTCACATTCCACTACGGACAAGGTGAGCGCTCGGTACTGTAACAACACTGACGATGTGTTGACGATGTAGACGACGTTGTACTTTCAATTCTGATACCTGAACTGAACACAATTATCCAAAGACGGTCGTCAGGGTCGTCACTTGGTTGAATATTCTCAGTGATGACGTTGGACGTTGTTCATGACACCGACTACTACTTCGCCTGACCTTGGCTTAACACCACAATTGAAAATGCTTTGTTGTTCCACGATTAAAAACATGTTTGTGTTAAGGCTATGAGACGATATAGTCCGTTTGGCTCAAAAGCGGACCGATGAATTGCAATCTAACTCGAAAACTAATAAACATAAAATACTCAATGAAACGCTGATCATAATCAAAACATCATACCCACTCTGTGAGGTTTTTGCAGAATTTTGTGTCCTATAAATAAAAAAGTTGTTTAACAATCTATCATTAAAATATTGACACAGTTCACTATTTGTTACGAGGGAGCAGTGCAGAGAAAGGGACAGCCAGGTGTTCGAGAGCGGATGGAGACGGCACAGCACAGGTTAATGAATAAATAACTTTGTCTGTGAACGTGCTTCTCGAACACCTGGCTGTCCCTTTCTCTGCACTCCTCCCTCGTAACAAACAGTGAACTGTGTCAATATTTTAATGATAGTTTGTTAAACAACTTTATTATTTTTAGGACAAAAATTCTGCAAAAACCTCACAGAGTTGGTATGATGTTTTGATTATGATCAGCGTTTCATTGAGTATTTTATGTTTATTAGTTTTCGAGTTAGATTGCAATTCATCGGTCCGCTTTTGAGCCAAACGGACTATAGCTCATTTCATATGTTTACATCTAACTGATCACATATCACTACTAAATGTGAACACAGTAGAGGCTATAGAAACGTTCTAAGCATGTTCAGATCTAATCATACTTGTCTAAACACAGTAAGTACGAGTGACGTGTGAGATATGCCACCCTGGGGTAGACTGACCGACTGACTGACTGAGTTTGGTTTTAAGCCGCTTTTAGCAATATTCCAGCAATATCACGGCGGGGGGACACCAGAAATGGGCTTCACACATTGTACCCATGTGGGGAATCGAACCCGGGTCTTCGGCGTGACGAGCCAACGCTTTAACCACTAGGCTACCCCCCCACCCCCCCCCCCCCCCTGAGGTAGATATACAAACAGACGGATGTGCTTGTGAAGAAAGGCAAACTGTCTTTATTTAAACATTTTGAACAAATCTTCAGACATGTGTTCGTCAACCCACCTTCCATGTTTTGATTAGAGAGCGGGCGAGATTTAACGACGTTTTATTTTTTTTTTCAGTTATAACGTATTTTGTGACTTGAGTGATGCAGGGCTTTCACCACTTGTCTCAATAATCTGGGGTGACAACAAAACTCCCAAAACACAGGGATGGCCTAATCCATTATCGAAAACCATGCATACAATTAATGAATCCAACATACACTCATGATAAAAATGATCAATCACAAGCCACACACGTGTACCATACTAACTTTATTACGAGTAAATCGCTAAAAACTCAACAAGAAGGGCGGCCTGTGCACGTGGCTGACCAAGGTTACGTCTAAAGGAGAAATCGTTGAACGAAACAGGATTTAAAGTCAATCCCGATACATATTTCTGTCGGCCCAAAATGTTTTTACATCTATATCCAATGAAATACCACTCCAGACACCCGATATGAAGTCTTTCTTTGCTTATTTCATCGTTAACTATATATTTGCAATCAAACTATACATTTGTGAAAGCAGGAAGTGTATCTACTCAGATGTGCAGATTTCGTTTTAATATTCTGCAAACCATTTTTAGTAGTACTCGCGGCCGGCCGGGCCCGAGTTTTAGGCCATCCCCAAAACACAGCCTTACGTGTGCCACAGCTCTGCCTGATCACAATACAAGTCACATTCCTACACATTTAGTAACAGAACCCTCAACAGTGGACTAAATACCATGGCAAGATACATTAATAGGTTTGGTATATATGTTGACCTTTGGGAGGTCGCTGTGACTCACGGAATACATACGTGTTGACTAAACGTGTACACTGACTGACTGACTGAGTTTGGTTTTACGCCGCTTTTAGCAATATTCCAGCAATATCACGGCGGGGGACACCAGAAATGGGCTTCACTCATTGTACCCATGTGGGGATTCGAACCCGGGTCTTCGGCATGACGAGCCAACGCTTTAACCATTAGACTACCCCACCGCCCCAAACGTGTACACAGTTATAGGGGGGCGGTTGGGTAGCCTAGTGGTTTAAACGTTCGCTGGTCACGCCGAAGTCACGGGTTCGATTCCCCACATGGGTACAATGTGTGAAGCCCATTTCTGGTTTTCCCCGCCGTGATATTGCTAAATGCGGCGTAAAAGCATACTCACTCACTCACCCACACAGCTATAGTGATGTACAAATACTTGACTGTTTTAGGTCACTCTGACCTACATGTAAGTGAGATATTGTATTAGTTAAACGAAATGAAAGCTCTCAGTGGAGGATTCGCTTTTTTGTGTAAAGGGAGCTCTCATATCTGCCCTATGCTATTGAAAAGTGTGCGTTTGGGATTTCACATGTATATCTGCTGTGTCTATTCCCGTAAAGTCAACATATACAACTTATCTAGTTATTAAATCCAAGAAGTATACAGTGACATTCTTCAGTGCAAGAATGCAACAACTGTCAGCCAATCAGGAAACAGCAATACGATAGCGGGGGTGAGCTGTGATTTTCTTATGTCCTGGAATCAGATTGTTGAAGATTATTTTAAATATAGAACATTCGTTTTATTTTGATAACACTATCCTAAAGTTAAACCTTACAACATGATTACCGATAATTCGATAACTTAATTATTTAAATAGTTTTTGACATCTATGAATCATCAGTTCTCGATTTTAAAAACCCAACTCTTTCGTGACATGAATAAATTATATGAAGGTTTTGCTGAAGGGATACAAAAATATATATGTGATTTTGCGACATTGCGAAATCTGATCGATTTAAGTTCTGGTATTGTTGACATGGATACGGAAACCTAAGGGGTAGCACGGTGCCCCGAACTGATTCCATATACAGTACAATACTGTTAAAACCAGCTCAAGGGTACCAGGGGTGGCGGGGTAGCTTAGTGGTTGAAGTGTTCGCTCGTCACGCCGAAGACCCAAGTTCGATTCCCCACATGGGTACAACGTGTGAAGCCTATTTCTGGTGTCCCCGGTCGTGATATTGCTGGAATATTGCTAAAAGCGGCGTAAAACCAAACTCACTCACTCACTCAAGGGGACCACACAATAACTGTAGTTCGGTGTACGTCATCTGACTATCCAGCAAACAGAGCCCTATATCCACCAGTGTCTTATAAGCATGTCCGTTAAAGAAGCAGTGACTTTTAAACTCTCTTAGGATCTGTGTTTTACGTCTTACGTATGACCTTTAACTTGAGCCATTCACCTGCTGTGAGTAAATATATACCGTGCGAAGAGTTGCGTCCCCTAAGTGAGTGCAGGATAGACTGAATGGATCCAAGGTTTAGTTCCCCTATTATGATATATCCTCGTTATACCATGCCCGTGCCCTTCTCTCGTTCAGTTGATGTCTGAACATTGTTACGCCATGTAAAGCCTGATCAACATACAGTAATTGATTTGGTATATATACGTGACCTGACCTTCAGGAGGTCGCCATGACTCACCAGATAGGTATAGTTGGCAAAGCGTGGACAACACAGTGCATATACTTTACAAAACAACTGATTAAATATTTCGTCACATCTCATTACACCACCTGTGGAATTGATACAGCGAGCGTCTTTGAGTACAGATATAACACGAGATCGGTGATACACAAAAGGGCATTCCCAAATTATTGCCTGAGTCACAAATGATAGTGTCCGAAAATAAATAAATGGATAAGAAATGAATTATTTCTACCATGCTTGAAATGATGTATTTTTGTGCCGATTAAACAGCAAATGTATTGATTTTCAAAGAACCGATATCAAACCTACCAATCAACACGTGTGTATTATGCAAAAACTTTTGTTGGGAAAGAAATATATGTTCTTACCAACTTATATTTTAAAAATACAAGCATGTGTAAATATTGTTCGACTGTTGAGTCCCTGTACGGACCATTTTTTTCGACATAAGTTTTAAAGTGTATAATATTTTCAAATGGAGTCATATGACAAAATCAACTAAGAGGAATAGTTTCTTTTAAGCTCCAGTATATATCTCTGTGAACTATCAAATCATAATTGCCTACTAAAGACACGTGTACCTTCAATGTTGAGATGTCTTGAAGCCGGACCTCATGGTTGCCCTGGATACAGTCATCCCCGGCACGACGTTTGCCTTGGACTGCACCGTCAACGTCCAAGTTGACCGCGTCATCTGGTACCACAACGAGGTGAGCGTGGCCGACATACGACGTGACACTGCAGGTCAGTGTAAGGTTGTCTGGCACAAGGACCGACGTTTTACAACTAGTTGTGAGGGAAACAGAACCAGTCTTGTTATAAGGGATGCCACCATCTCAGACGCGATGATGTGGTACTGCTACGACTCGACTCATCACATCAAGAGCAAGAAGGTCAACATTAACATTGCCAGGGCCACAGGTAAGTCAACATTAACATTGCCAGGGCTACAGGTAGGTCAACATTAACGTTGCCAGGGCTACAGGTAGGTCAACATTAACATTGCCAGGGCCACAGGTAGGTCAACATTAACATTGCCAGGGCTACAGGTAGGTCAACATTAACGTTGCCAGGGCTACAGGTAAGTCAACATTAACATTGCCAGGGCCACAGGTAAGTCAACATTAACATTGCCAGGGCCACAGGTAGGTCAACATTAACATTGCCAGGGCCACAGGTAAGTCAACATTAACATTGCCAGGGCTACAGGTAGGTCAACATTAACATTGCCAGGGCCACAGGTAGGTCAACATTAACATTGCCAGGGCCACAGGTAAGTCAACATTAACATTGCCAGGGCTACAGGTAAGTCAACATTAACATTGCCAGGGCCACAGGTAAGTCAACATTAACATTGCCAGGGCCACAGGTAGGTCAACATTAACATTGCCAGGGCTACAGGTAAGTCAACATTAACATTGCCAGGGCCACAGGTAAGTCAACATTAACATTGCCAGGGCCACAGGTAAGTCAACATTAACATTGCCAGGGCTACAGGTAGGTCAACATTAACATTGCCAGGGCCACAGGTAGGTCAACATTAACATTGCCAGGGCCACAGGTAAGTCAACATTAACATTGCCAGGGCCACAGGTAAGTCAACATTAACATTGCCAGGGCCACAGGTAGGTCAACATTAACGTTGTCAGGGCTACAGGTAGGTCAACATTAACATTGCCAGGGCCACAGGTAAGTCAACATTAACGTTGTCAGGGCTACAGGTAGGTCAACATTAACATTGCCAGGGCTACAGGTAGGTCAACATTAACATTACCAGGGCCACAGGTAAGTCAACATTAACATTGCCAGGGCTACAGGTAAGTCAACATTAACATTGCAAGGGCCACAGGTAAGTCAACATTAACATTGCCAGGGCTACAGGTAGGTCAACATTAACATTGCCAGGGCTACAGGTAGGTCAACATTAACATTACCAGGGCCACAGTTAAGTCAACATTAACATTGCCAGGCCTACAGGTAGGTCAACAGTAACATTGCCAGGGCTACAGGTAGGTCAACATTAACATTGCCAGGGCCACAGGTAAGTCAACATTAACATTGCCAGGGCCACAGGTAAGTCAACATTAACATTGCCAGGGCCACAGGTAAGTCAACATTAACATTGCCAGGGCCACAGGTAGGTCAACATTAACATTGCCAGGCCTACAGGTAGGTCAACAGTAACATTGCCAGGGCTACAGGTAGGTCAACATTAACATTACCAGGGCTACAGGTAGGTCAACATTAACATTGCCAGGGCTACAGGTAAGTCAACATTAACATTGCCAGGGCTACAGGTAGGTCAACATTAACATTGCCAGGGCTACAGGTAAGTCAACATTAACATTGCCAGGGCTACAGGTAAGTCAACATTAACATTACCAGGGCTACAGATAGGTCAACTTTAATGTTGCCAGGGCTACAGGTAAGTCAACATTAACGTTGTCAGGGCTACAGGTAGGTCAACATTAACGTTGTCAGGGCTACAGGTAGGTCAACATTAACGTTGTCAGGGCTACAGGTAGGTCAACATTAACGTTGTCAGGGCTACAAGTAGGTCAACATTAACGTTGTTAGGGCTACAGGTAGGTCAACATTAACGTTGTCAGGGCTACAGGTAGGTCAACATTACCGTTGTCAGGGCTACAGGTAGATCAACATCAACGTTCTTAGGGTTACAGGTAAGTCAACATTAACGTTGTCAGGGCTATAGGTAGGGCAACATCAACGTTGTAAGGGCTACAGGTAGGTCAACATTAATGTTGTCAGGGCTACAGGTAGGTCAATATTAACGTTACCATGGCTACAGGGGTGCAGATGGGTCAACAGTAAGGGTGTAATGACTACAGTCAATGACAGGTCAGTATTAACGCTGATACTGCTGCTGGAGGTCAATATTAATATTACGACTACATTGGTATACGTGGGTATATATTATACGTATATTATAGTAATTAAATACAGGGTTAACATCGACATACATGCATATTCTGATGTTGTAAAGCTAGCAGTTCTTCCTGTTTCCTGGAAACTGGCAGTTCACAGTGACGTTGCACAGTTAGGAGATCCACATTAACCGTGCAATAACGATGTCAGTGTTGATAAAGCAGCGATGTGCGGGGCAAGAGTAGCTTACACGTGTCCGGATCCTCGAGGCCTACATTACCCATGTAACAATGACAGGGTTGGAATAAATCTGTGATATAAATAACAAATCCGACAGCACAAAGATCCTGGTTACCATGGAAACAATGGTGACACCGCCAAATAGTGTCACCGAATTGCATGGGCCAGGCAGATAGACACGTACAATATACGTAAAGAAGTATTAAATAATATAATGTATTTTATATAACTTGTCTCCAAGGCAATGATTCGACTTCCTACATACTTTTTACCAGTATTGAGAAACGAAGACCCTCCCGGCACAAGTATAATACAAACATTTAGCTTTAAAATCAACATTTAAAAAGAACTCAACGGATTCTAACAAGATATATATATATACTATTCACACTTTGCTAAGGATCAAATCATGGATTCAACGTCAGAAAACTATTATGTGGGGTCAAATTTGGTTTATATACCTAAGCTTATTGTAAGCATTGGCCCGAGGTTTCAGTATGTCATTGCATCTTGTGTACCCCATACCTGCTATTGACATGTGTTGTTTATTTGTCAGTGACTCGTTTCCAAAATGGGATTGTCTGGTCCAGACTCGATTATTTACAGACCGCCGCCATATAGCTGAAATATTGCTGGAGTGCGGCGTAAAACTAAAAACACTCTCCAAAATGGTTGATTGGTGCCATGAAAACCTTTTTCATGGTTACTCATGTATCAGGTGCATAAGGTTAGATTAAAGTGAATGTTTGCCTAAAGAGGGGTTACCATATTAGTATTTATCCAGTTTTAAATGGATACAATTTCAAATTATAAATCTACGTTTAAGTAAAGTTGTGAAATTTTGTGATCCTTAGCGAAGTGTGAGTAGTATATTTAACTAAACTGTATGTTAGCTGTTTGGCATGTGACTAATGAGATCAAATCTGACTGATGACCAAATCAAGTAGAACCTCCGTTCTACAAGGATTTACTCAATGCCGTTGATGCTTCTGACAATAGGAGATAGCAACGGGGTTCATCCACCTCGTCTTTTGGAAATGTACAAACATGTCAGTGAGAAGAATCAGAATTGTTTTATTTGATATATATTTCGGAACAAAGAAATCAAGATACACAGAAACACACATGGCTACGAGAACCTCCAAAACAGCAGGGTAGACTGATGACTACAGTCTCAGGACGTTGTAGATATACCTGTTGGTTAATAGAGAATCGATCTAACCCGGATGTCTTTTGATATCAAATATATCACCACGTGTTGACAAAGTTACAAATTTGTTCAAAAAAATTATTTTTACTTTTATCAACCAGTGTTGATATATTTGATATCAGAACATACGAGGGGTGACATTCTATTTATCATCAAAAATCACTCTTCGTTAGTTTTCAATGAAAAATGTACATCTCTGAAGACTTAACTGCCATTAGACGTGCAGTGCAGCCATGTCATAGCATTGTGACGTCATCAAGTTCACGACATTGTCAAGGCATTGCACAAAATCTACTGTCAAAGAGATATCTCTTAGGAGATATCGTTTGATCTCACACAAGCAATATCTCCTGTGGAACACAGTTTTGGATGATAAGATACAAATATGATGGGACAGTAACAACGTTTAAGAAATGCACTTAAAATGACGTATACCATCTCAATATATTGCTAGGTCAGGGCCGGTGGAACTGTACTATTGCTTGCGGCATAAAACAACATCAAACGTACATTCAACAAACAGTTTACTGATCATGCACTCGTTGCGGCATTTTCAGATATTCCTACCCTGGTTATCTCCCAGAAGGTCGCCAATTTGGGCAGCTATTTAAACCTGACCTGTCTCCTTCCGTATATCTCGCCACTGGTGCGATGGACATCTGATGACCAGGACTTCGGTGATGCCACCGTCCAGTATATCGGGGGTTGCAAATTCACGATCCAACAGGAACCACCAAACGGTTTTAACTACACGTGTGACAAAAGAACGGTGTCAATTGGATTTACGGCTCTACACGCAGTCAACGGAACAAGATGGCGATGTCAAGATCCGTACCGGAAGTTACGAAGTCGGGAAGCGGAAGTAGAGGTTACCCTCCCATCAGGTGTTTTGTCAAAATATGTTTCTTTTTTAAAAAGCAGTAGAATGTTGTTATATGTTTTGGGTGTTGTATACTCAGGGTCATTAATAAAAGTACGAGTTGATACTAAGCGATAAAACGTCATATTTTCAATTCCCGAGACTGCAGTTCTGTTGGAAAGTACAATTTCATACCCGCATTTCATGTGATGTATTGCTTACTACGTTACTTTACCGTACTTACACCAACCTTTACTAGCTCATTTACCCCGGTCTGCGGTGGGGAAGCCCAGTGGTTATAGCGTCCGTTCGTCACGCTGAAGACCCGGGTTCGATTCCCCACATGGGTACAATGTGTGAAGCTCATTTCTGGTGTCCCCCGCCGTGATATTTCTGGTATATTGATAAAGTTTGTCACTCACTGTTGAGAAGTATATTTGCCGATGATTTTTTTTTGGCGGTTGGATGCGCAGAAAAGAATATTTGAGTTATCTCCCTTGGCCGGAATGGTAAAGCCACGAGGCCTGTGTATTTAATGCCTGTTCATGGACTGTATGTTCTGATGTCCAAACGATGAATGAAGCCTGTCGACGTTTTCTTGCCTTTATTCCTCATTTTCACACTCACTCTCACTCACTTGCAGTGTGGCCAACTGGAGTTGACCTGAGTGGATACAGGGGTTCGACCACTGACCACGCCGGGATGACCATCACCTGCACGTGCCACTGCGACCACCTGTTCGACTTCCAGTGGCACTACGGAAACCTGACAGCAACAACCTCGCACTCCGAGTTCGACTCCACGCAGTACAGATGCAGCCAGTCTCTGACGCTTCGACCCGACTGGACATACGACGGCCGGACTGTCCGATGTTTAGTGATCAACACAAAGACGATGAAGGCAAGATTTGGACAGGTCCAGCTGGACGTAGAGTGTAAGTATCCATCTCGGGATCCCGAGCAAACTTGTTCAATGTGCATAAATAGTTTTGTAACTATATACACCAAATATAATAAATACCAATTATGATCAATATCAGTTTTACTCTGAAACGTGACCCGTGAAGATCCGGGTTAGAATATTGATCTTCAGTAAGCCATGCTTGTCGTAAGAGGCGACTAACGGGATCGGGTGGTCAGGCACGCTGACTTGGTTGACACATGTTGTCCTGTCCCAATTGTGTAGATCGATGCTCATGCTTTTGATCACTAGATTATCGGGTCCAGACTCGATTATTTACAGACCATATAGCTCAACTATTGCTGATTGCGGCGTAAGACTAAACTCACTCACTGCTGTAAAACGTTGGTAATGATTATTAAGAGAACTGAAAATCCTGATCCTTGTCATCAGCAGAATGTCAGTCGCACTAATCTGGGACTATAATAATAATAATTAATAATGAGGGTACTTATCCTGCGCAATACTCCATACCACAAAGGGCGTGCTCAAAGCGCGCATAAACGTTTAAAAACAAACACATCAAAAGTCTCATGAATCAGTATGGTAGAAGATAGCCGTAAATATACTGAGAGAAACAAATAAAGGATCACAGGAAAACTCAAGCGTCCCTTTATTATTTTCCAGTTGTCATCACCACAGCGCTTTCCAAAGCTGGTGATGAAAACTGGAAACACTATTAAAGGAACGCTTGAATTGTTCTCTGATCCTTAATTTGTTTCTCTCGGTATATGAGCATTGAGAGAGTTACTGTTTGTATCGGCTGAAAATGGGTGTTTTTAGGTTACTCTTGAACACTTGAAGAGATGGAGCTGTACATAGTTTAAGTGGAAGTGAGTGAGTGAGTTTAGTTTTACGACGACACTCAGCAATATTCATGCTATATGGCGGCGGTCTGTAAATAATCGAGTCTGGACCAGACAATCCAGTGATCAACAGCATCAGCATCGATCTGCGCAATTGGGAACCGATGACATGTGTCAACCAAGCTAGCGAGTGCTGACCACCCGATCCCGTTAGTCGCCTCTTACGACAAGCATGGGTTGCTGAAGATTCACGGGTCAGTGGATGTGAGTTCCACAGTGCGGTTGCAACTGAAGCAAAAGAACGGGCACCAAATGTCTTGAGGTTGAATGGTGGAGGATCCAGCAGGTGTTGGTTACTGGATCTGAGGGCACGAGCAGAAGTGTATGGTGTGAGAAGATCACACAGGTATGAGGGAGCCGTGGAGTTAACACATTGGTAAGCGAGAGTGAGTACCTTGAAATCAATTCTTTCATGGATCCGTAACCAGTGCAAGGAATCCAGAACGAAATGTACGTCACAGGACGGCTTAGAACAGACGCTTTATTTTGGTTTTGGAGGCACGTGTAAACAGACCGTTGCAATAGTTATGATTTACATGAGTTTCCATGGAGAGACTGCTATTCAAGTAGACTCCCAGATTTTTCACCACAGTCCAGAAAAGGATCGAAGAGTCCCCAATCTGAAGATGATCAAAGTGATACTTTTTCAACCTAGCAGGTGGGCTAAACAGTATTGCCTCTGTTTTACTGTCATTCATTTTCAGCATATTTGTTGTCATCCACTTGACTTGACGTCACTAAGGCACAACTCAATGTTGTGTATGGTGGAGGCTTGGTTAGACTCTGAAAGATCCAGTTTATCAAGCAATTGCGAATCATCAGCATAGAAGTGGCTAATGACCCGGTACTGTGCTATAAGGTGACCCAAGGATTTTGTATACATCGTAAAGAGGACTGTTCCCAACACGGAACCCTGGGGTAGGCCGCATTTGAGCACTGAGGGAGGTGATTGGGAATTTGGAATTAACCTGTCATGGTCAATGGTATCAAATGCAGACGAAATGTCCAGCATAACAAGCATGGCAATGTTATTATAGTCGACAGTACTAATGACGTGTTCCACCACACAATTCAAAGCTGTTTCTGTACTGTGTGATGCTCTGTACGCAGATTGATGCTTGTCAATTAACTGAAACTTGTTCAGGTGTCGAGTTAACTGGTGTTTCACAAGTTTCTCCAGCACTTTAGACAAAAAAGATAAGTTTGAAACAGGTTGGTAGTTGGAATACTGTTCAGAATCTAGTGAAGGCTTCTTTATAAGAGGCCTCATCACGGCAGTTTTGAAGCAGGAGGGAAATATGCCAGTTTCCAAACTTTTGTTGACAATACTGGTGACTGTGGGTAGAAGAGTGTCAAGAATTTTCATGAAGAACTTGGTGGGTACAGGATCCAGGTGATAACATGTTATCTTGGAGGACATAATGATCTTTCTAATATCAGCATCACGGACAGGATCAAAAGACACTAGCGGCTGACCATGAAATTCCATAGATGAGATATCCTCACACTGCGCTCCAAGAGAGTGACGTAGCTTGGCGATTATCTCCATGAAGTATGCGTTGAAGCTCTCGGCAGTGGTTTGAAGGTCACCTTGTGGTAAAGTCACCTCATTTGTTTTCCCTAAGAACTGAAACAATGTGGAAAACAGATGTGTAGGGTTTGAGAGTTTGCCTCAATCTCGCTTTGTATGTGCTCTGATCTAGCCGTTTTCATGACATTGTTCCGTGCAGCAGAATATAGCTGACGATGAACCACCAACCTGGACTTACGCCAGGGACGTTGAGCTATACGCTTCTCCATCTTGACATTATGAGTGTACTATGGCGCGGCTCCCTTGGGTACCACCTTCTTCAGTTTTACCGGGGCATGTTTGTCCAGTACAGTTGTGAGCGTGGCGTTAAACAGATCTACAAACTTCTCTGCATCATTAGGAGGATCAGAAGCAAGAGGAACTCTATAAGGTCGTTCTTAAATCGCCCAAGGTCAATGCTTTTCATGTTCCTGATTTGTACTTCACGTTGTTTCGTACTGGGTCGCTCAAGTTTTAAAGTGAGAGTCACGTGGAATGTTACAATATATAACAAGTTTTATGGATAACAACTTCTTTATTTTTCGTGAGTGCGACGTTTCGATACAGATTCTTGTACCGTTGTCAAGCAAGAGTGATACATGAAGTGTAGGAGCTGCATATATATACTGTATATAACAATGAAACAACATAATAGACAAAGGAAACAACATAATTGCCATGATTGGCTAAGCAGTAAGCTGATGAAGCCAGTAAGTACATAAAGGATAGTGAATGGAAGCCAGAGATGTAGTTACAATGAGATGTTTATACAATGGATGCGATGTTTATACAATAGACTGGGCTTGGTGGAGGAGTGGATCATAAGCAGATGGAATGAAGTATCCTTGGTCACGGTTGATGGTAGGCTTGTGGCGTTTGATGTGATTCCTTTGTCTATTATGTTGTTTCATTGTTATATACAGTATATATATGCAGCTCCTACACTTCATGTATCACTCTTGCTTGACAACGGTACAAGAATCTGTATCGAAACGTCGCACTCACGAAAAATAAAGAAGTTGTTATCCATAAAACTTGTTATATATTGTACGTCTCAACTTCTAAAATGCCACTCAAACAAGTCACGTGGAATGATCTGAGAATATGGGTTCCTTGTCTTCCAAGTTCTGGATAACATGCAGATCATGTGTATACGTAATTACCCAATCAATAGTATGCCCTGACCGGTGTGTTGGTTCACGCACATGCTGTTTTAAATGTCAGACCAGCTAACAGACATCAGCTGGAGTAAGCCTTTCAGAGGTGTGACACAGAAACCCCTATCAGGAGACTGACGACATCAGTTCGACCACATGTAATGACATGCATGAATGCATAAAGAGGACAACACAACATGTGGCACAAGAACATCTCCAAAAGAACATGGTCAACATTTGGAGCTCTACAACAAACCTGTAAATTTCTATATCTTTGTGGACCCCCACCTGTGTTCAGACCTCATTTCATAGAGGTTTCATAAAGTTTGTTAGGATTACTGTTTATGTAATATGATGTAATGAAACGTTTAATGTTCCACTACATTGGTCCAGTATATAAAACACAGTACAGCTCATTGCCCTCACTCACTCTATGTGGATGGTAGGGTAGCCTCTGGGTTAAAGCGTTGCCTCGTCAAGCCGAAGCCCCGAGTTCGATTCCCTACATTGGTACAATGTGTGAAGCCCATTTCTAATGTCCCCCGCCGTGATAGTGCTGGAATATTGCTAAAGCGTTGTAGAACTAAACTCACTCACTCACTCTCTTCTTTCAAGATGGACACCGATACGAAACACTCGAAATAAAGTCATTGATCCGGGATATTCTCTCTGGTATACATTGTATCTGTTTTCACCTGGTACACATTGTATCTCCTTTCACCTGGTATACAGTATCTGTTTTCACCTGGTATACTTTTCACCTGGTATACATTATTGTATCTTTTTCACCTGGTTTTGTATCTGTTTTCACCTGGTTGTTACATACATTGTATCTCTCAAATAAAGTCATTGTTTTCACCTGTATACATCTGTTTTCATCTGTTATCTGTTTTCACCTGGTATACATTGTATCTGTTTCACCTCATACATTGTATCTTTCACCTGGTATACATTGGTATCTGTTTTCACCTGGTATACATTGTATCTCTTTTCACCTGGTATACATTGTATCTCTTTTCACCTGGTATACATTGTATCTGTTTTCACCTGGTATACATTGTATCTCTTTTCACCTGGTATACATTGTATCTGTTTTCACCTGGTATACATTGTATCTCTTTTCACCTGGTATACATTGTATCTGTTTTCACCTGGTATACATTGTATCTCTTTTCACCTGGTATACATTGTATCTCTTTACATTGTATCACCTGGTATACATTGTATCTCTTTTCACCTGTACATTGTATCTCTTTTCACCTGGTATACATTGTATCTCACCTGGTATCACTTGTTTTCACCTGGTATACATTGTATCTGTTTTCACCTGGTATACATTGTATCTCTTTTCACCTGGTATACATTGTCATCTCCTTTATCT